ATCCACGAAACAAAGAAAGGTCTGTCACAGCCAAAAAATACACTCCAGACACGCCGCTGGCACTAGAGGCACAGCATGGCGCCTAGTAACGGCCCCGATGGGCGGTTTTTTGGCCCACCTGGTTTACCCGGGCGGGCCCGCCGGGCCCAACTGGCCGGGCCCAACTCGACCGGGCGGCATCCTCAGTCAGACATTTACATGATTTACTTCTTCTGTTAGTAAAAATGCATTATGAATCTGACAAAGTGTGCCTGTCAAATGTTGTGGAGAATCGCAGACTCCAGTTTATGAAGTTTTTCTCCATCCCGCCCAGTGTGGACACCTCTAAGAAACCCGGTGCATCCTTGATCAACCAACCCATCAGCTGCTATAGATTAACGTGCTGAGAACCCGATCAAAGGTTGTGGAGAACCGCAACTTTCAATTTACGACTTTCTTTTTTTCACTTCCCATTGATTGCAGACAGCTACTCTAGGCACCTTGTGCACCGTTGTACAACCAACCCATCACCCCTGCTACAGACTCACAAGCGAACCCGCCTCTACAGCAAAACTGTTTAACATCTGCCCCTCAATGCAACGATGTCGGAACAAATCCACCGCACAACCCGAGAATTCATATCCAACCGAATCCAAATCCAAATCCAAATGCAAATGACGACCACCATCCAGATTCACCAAGACAAGTCGTAACTGAATGAAATACAAATGTCATCAAAGTATCAAACACAGTCACAAAAGAATTCAATCCATGGACCAACCAACAGCACCCCCAAGCCCAGCCCAGCCCAGCCCAGTCCAGCCACCCCAGCTCTACCGACTACGCCTAATACCAAACAACCCACCAACCATAAAGTAAACCAACCTATCGAAAGGAACAATTACAAAAAAAAAACAAGTCACGCCATCCCGTCCCCTGATGTCCCATCCTGTTCCGACCTCATTCTGGCACATTGGATTCGATACCATCCATCAAACACTCAACCAACCAGCCAACTCACCACTCCGTCAATGCAACATGCACAGCATGACACCTATATATTCAGTAGGAACGTTTGCAAGAAAAAGAAAATGAGATCACATGCACCAAGGTCCAAGGACGCCAGTACATAACAGTGGTTTATATCAAAGTGGACTTACTTGTGCTTCTTCCTCGGACGTGAATGAAATTTTTGCTGGAGGAGTTCTTTGAGAGAGTTCCACCTCTGCGCCCTTTTCCTCCTCAAGAGCTCCTCCGGGCCACCTGCTTCCCCTTCGACATCTCTCTCAAGCTGCTCTTGTTGTTCCGCATCCACTTCCCGCAGGAAGCCATTCAGATCAACTCCTGATGTGCCAGTTATGCCATCAGCATCCCGGTTCCAGTACCGCATGCCCTCACGTGGCACTTCTAAAGATGAAGAACCGACCACACCTTCAGAGTTGACCCCTTCCACTTCCTCCCTGCATGTCAGATCGACGGCCAGATCCAAGAACCCGTCACCACACTCCAGCATCCCTGCCGCACCCATAACCAGTTGGCGATCGCCCTTTCCATCAGCGCTCAGGTCTTCCATCCGTGCCCCTGCCTCTTGCCGTTTTGTTAAATTGCCGACATCCTGTTTAAATCTTGCCTTTGGCCGACTTCTTTCTTCGTCTTCCCTGCCCAGAGAACTCAACTCGACTTCAAGATTCCCAGCACCAAAGCACTTGCTGCGGCATACCTCCCGCTGTACGTCCTCCTTGCCAAGGGGAAGGCCCTCTTGCTCAGGATGAGACCCTCCTGGAAGAATAGGCCCCTCTTTCGCGCTAGTGGGTGCTTGTGAAACTCCATCAGCTTTCAATCTCTTCCTCACCTTGGTTTGTTTTTCATGCCATCCTTCCCCAGACTCCAGAGGCCCTCCATGAGTGTCAGGTGGTTTTCCATTTTCCTCTTCAGGACCCTGCCCTACAGCTCCACGATTCGCCCTACCTGCGCATGGGGCTCTGTGTGTGCCTCCAGTTTTGGCTGGAGGCATTCCATCCTCTCCTTCCGCTGTGCTTCTACTCGAGTTCCGCACAGATCGAACCCAAGTTAATGCTTCACAGCTACTGCGCTCACGAATGGTGTCAGATTCCATTTGTTCATAGCCATCTTCAAATCTTACTTCCATCTTCACAGCTTTCCTCCTGAAATACACCTTCAAGGGGGGAGCCTGACCGCATGCACCATCATCTACGACGGTAACATTGGCAATATTTGGTCCCTCTCCATCTGATCTCCTTGCCTCATATGCGAGCTCAACTGCTGAATACGCAGGACGGCAATCTTTATCCCCCCTCACTCTCTCCTCTTTCACCGTCCTACCAGCATCTGCTGAGTCATATAAAAGCTCTGCTGTGCCAGTGCTGCCCCTCGTAACATCCCCAGCTACCTGATCATTTGTCACTCTCCTTGCCCTGCTTCTCCTCTTACTCCTTGCTTCACGCCTCACGCACGCCATACTCCCTACAATTGCCTTCGCTTCCTCACTTCCCCCATTGCCATTCTGTTCTGAGCACTTTTTCATCAGTCCCGAGGAAACACCCTCGGCTCCATCCACACCTTCAATTCTCATTTTGCATGCTGACGCTTCCACTTGCCGGACTTTCTTGTCAACAACACACGCCTTCAACGCCGCTGTCTTAGCCATCATAGCAAGCCGTTTAGGACCAGTCCTCTCCCCACCTGCCCATTCATCTTTGGACAACCTTTCGATAGGCTCCGCTCCTCTGTTTCCCCTGTCACTTCCCCCACCTCTTGTGCCAGATGTTCTCACCTTGCAAGAAGTGGCACGAGCACGCTTTGTTTGGTCCACACTTCCTGGGTCACCGGCAAGGGGAAACTGGCCAGGCAAGACTTTGTCGGTTTCCTTTTCTGCTGCCTGAGGGAAGCCTGTCTTGTCGATCTTAGGTTTCCCAACCTGCTTCTTCTTCACACGTCCAATGCCCGAACACTTCTTGCGATGGCTCCATCCTCGTGCCTTTCCTCGTAATCTCGCTCGCCTCAGATCTCTGCCTCCTCCTCGAGGAGGTTCTCCAACTCGTTCCTTTCCGCTTATGGCTGCCACCATGCCCACTCCACCAGGTAGGCGGTCATTCATCTGACGATCAGACGAATGCAGAACCAAATCATGATTGTTCGACCCTCGAGCTCTGACGGGTTTGCGCCCTCTTCGCGCAGTACTCGACCACTTCCGTTCCACTGCAAAGCTGAGCTGTTCGGATGAAGTTGAAGTCTTCTGTGCAGATGCAATGTTTCCCGCCACATGCTGGGATACGTCCAATTTTCTCAGAGTGCTGCCATCCTGTGTTGCAGACTCTGTGAGGTGGTCTGTCGCAGCAGGTGAGTGTGATCCTGATGCCACTCTGCTCGGCGAACTGGACGCTCCCACGCGCACTACTTTGAACTCTCTATCTGGCCTGAACTTGGTATCGGGGGGTGACCTTCTCTTCACATCTCCACCACAAGCATCAGCAGCAGCAGCAACAGTGACAACACTTCCACTGCATTCCCCTGCACTGGCAACACCCATCGCCGACTGATCATCAGTTCTGCCATCCCCTGCTTTCCGCCTTCTTGCCAAACGCTCTGCGGTGCCTAGAATACTGTTCATACGAGTTCGAAGATGAACAGGAGAGCCCGCAGGCACACTCTGGCAGAGCAACTCTGCTGCTCGCTTGACAGCTGTGGCCGCTCTAGCGGTTGCTGCAACTGCCAGACTGGCTTTTTCAGAGGCAATTTTAGTTGCTTGGCGTGCCCGCTGGCGAGCTTTTGCTGCAACTTCAGCCAGCTCCTTTGCTTTGGCCTCTCTTGCAGCTTCCTCCTGGTCAAGCTCTTGTCCTTTCCCATCAGCCCCTGATCCATCACAGCGATGTGCATCCAACTGGGCAATAGAATCCCGTTGTAGTCCATTTGAAAGGCTGGCCGCTTGTTCTTCACCATCAGCCGCTGAAGCATCACATCGGCGTGCATGCAGCGAGACAAGAGAATCCCGTTGTCGTCCTTCTGAATGGTTGGTGGCACCTCTGGCATTGGAGGCACTTGGGCTCTTTGGTGCCACATGTGTTCCCCCTACTCTAGCTGTTGCCGGCCCCTTAGACGGATGCAGTTCAGTAGCAGCTGCAGATTGGCTACGGATGGCCCCTGAGGAGCTTGCAATGCCTGATCCCTCCCTATAGCCACTGTCTCCCTGATGCTTTCTCTTGCTTGGCAATGATTGAGGCAACGGTCGATGGGTGCTGTTGGGGGGCTCCACAGCTGCCCGAGCTTTTAATGACAGCACAGAGCGCCGAGCTACAGCTTTACCGGTGATTCTGTTGCGAGCATCCCTTGGTGGCGTCTCAGCTGCAGGTTTCAATGCACTGCTGGGTGCACCACGTGTTTCCGTAATGGCCGAGGCATTGGGGAAAGGAGACAAAGGGTGGCCAGTTGCACGGACTGTCTGCGATGGGGATTGGGCCCCTTGAGCCAAATTGGAGGAGAGATGTGGGACAACATGTAGTGTCAGGTGAGGCTTGGGCTCCGGGAGAATTTCTTCCGATGCCCCATCACCTGAAAGGGATGGATTGAACCCGGGTGTAGGAATCATGCCTGAGAAAGCCGCCTTACTGGCAGCAGCAATGTTATACACATTAGACCTGAGAATGAGTGAAGACTGTCTCCCTGGAACCAACTTTGGTACCAGTTGTGTTAGGGCAGAGACGGGAGGGTTGCTACCATCCGGACCATGCTTTCCACCAGCCAACAAGCGTCGTCCCGCTGACACTCTGTCGCCCCGCTCTGGAACCTCGTGTGAAGAAGCCATACTGACCGGCGGGATAGTTCGTCCACTGCTCGTAGGAATGCCTGGGGCTGTTGCCTGGGCAGAGTGGACTGAGCCAGCATGCCACGAAGATCCTCCCGCCGAGGTATTACTGTCCACATGCATTGCACTAGGTGCGCATGGATTGTCAGAGCCAGTCCCCACGTTCGGTAGAGATAAGACGTCTGTATCAGGACCCGGATTGCTTTGGTCAAAATAGATAAGAATGGAGTCATTCTGGGGTAACTCGGCCTCAGGCCGAAGGAGTGATGTCAAGTCCTGATTCAGATCACTCATCACACCTAGTGATTCACAGCGGGGCAAAGGGTGGACAACCCCACACTCGGAGACGAGCACTGGACCCTGAGGTAGACAAGTCAATGCCTCCTCCTTCAGCCGGCCACCATCACAAGTGGAAACCATGCCATCACTACACTTCTCCACTGATATCTCCTGACCTTTCATACCTTCAGCATCTTGATTGCCCTCCTCAGGGCAGCTGCCACGCCTGGCAAGGCCGTTCCCATGGCCAAGGCTCGTCTCCGTTTGCTGAGTGCCGATGCAAGGCTGCAATAATACTGCACTCGCAGAACCTGGAGCGCCATCAGCCGGCACAAGATCGACGATTGCAGTCACCTTTCCACCAAGAGAATCAGCATCCGTTGAAGAGGGTGAAGGCCCAACCCCTTCTCCAGAAGCACCTGGCAGAACAGCTTCACAATCCGGACGCAAAATCCCACAGTCCACAGTCTGCACTGACAAGCCGTCCTCATCAACAGCAACAGTTTGGATCAAAGCAGGCCCTTGCTGCTCCCTGCCACCACCATCGCTTGTTGCAGTACCGGCACTGCCAGTTGCCACGTTTTCAACTGCTTGTGTGATCTTCTCCACCCCTCCATTCTCTGTCGTAGTTCCTGATACGCATTCTCCTTCTCTTCGAGGCAAGTCAGCCAATGGGAGGTGCAGAAGAAGTACAGGGTTAGTACTCAACACTCCAGCGTTACCGGCCAGTGTCTCCGCAGCAATCAAAGGTTGTTCAGGAACAGCCAGAAACGTTCCAGGAGGTGCCAACACCGAGTCAGGCTGCAAATCGTCACCACCAAGACGTTGTCCTGGGGTCTCACTACCCATGGTTGAACTCGGCTGGACCCTGGAGCTCTCGGTGGCTCCATTCCTCGTGCCCCCTTTAGGGTTGTCATCTGATAAACCGCCCTTGCCATTCTGGTTTTTTGGTACGTCAACAGCGTGAACCAAATCGACATCAACCTTGCAGACAATGGCTTGCTGCTGCCTGCTTCCGCTTGCACGTTCGACCATGCAAACGGCACCTTTGGGTTCAGCCACCTCCATTCCTGTTGTTGTGGCAAATGAGAACTTCACTCCAGGTCCAGGTTCTTCAGAACAGTCCTGACCCGCCTTTTCATTTGCGCCGGGAACGCAAACTTGAGGCCCAACTTCTGACAGAAGAGCGCTGGAACATTCCTCATGGCCTGTGCTTTTCACCCTTCGCTCAGACTCCTGAATACCTTCCTCTTCGATGGCCACAACCGTCACATCAACCATACCCGAAATCTCTGAGCGTTCCACTGTTCCTCCATGCGCCTTCTCACTGAGTTCGTTTCCCAGGTTAACTCCACCACCTTCTCTGCCATTGGTAACATCCATGTCACTCACAGAATTCTCTTCTCCGCGACCCGCTTCGCCAGTCTCCCTCCCAGTTAAAGTCTGCACATGTGGCATTGCTCCTTTGAATCCATGAACGACAGAGCAAGTAGCATTACACTCCCGTTCCACCTCCTCGGCGCTCGAGTATTTCCCATCTCTCAACTCCCCTAAGGCTGGAAGCACTGGTCTCAGCAGACCAAAGTTCACCTGCTTTCCGGCCTCTTCGTCATTCTCATCCTTTCGATCCGTACATCCATTTTTCCGCTGCTTAACTTCATCTGTCATGTTGTCACTCTTGGCCATGCCTGCCCCTTTCACATCACTCCCCACAGAACCAGCAGTATTCAGCTCACTGCCATCAGCAACTGCCCCATTGGCCAATGCGGAGCAAGTGTGACCCTTGTTTGACTCCCCAACCACGTTTACTGTCTTGCTACCATCACCATCACCGAAAGGCCTATCACCACGCCCTTTCTCACCGTTATCCATGCCACCTGCCTCAACAGATTCAATAGCCACACAGCTGTCTTTCTCTAAACAGCCATGCTTCAAAAAGGTGCATAGGAGTTCCTTCGGCCCCACGTCCTTGCTCGAGGCTCGGCTGTTCAGATCCTCCATTGTCAGTCCGGGAACAGAGTGATCTGCTCCTCCCAACCCTCTCCCTCGACATTCCAAGACAGCTCTGCCCTCGATTCCTGATTGACTATTCTTCGGGACTCCGTCAGTTCCCTCTTGAATTGGACCTGCCAAAACATTTGCCCTCATCTTTCCCGTCTCGACCCGCTTCCCCCAGGTTGAATAACAACTACCAACAGCAGCTGCAACAGCACTATCACTACCAGGGTTCTCAGGGCCCAAATTGCACCCAGAGAAGAAATTCCCATCGTGAATCCCTGAGGACGGCACTTCTGCAACACTCTGTTCCGGAACTGTATTCCCTTCTCCATTGATCTCTACTGCTTCCATCGACAAGTCAGCAGGAAGCTGACTATATGGACTTGCATCATCATCCTCTTCCTTCTTGTCAAGATCGTGACGCTCTTTCATGTAATCTTTCAAATCGCCGGTATGGAGCTGAGCTTTCAGTTCACCACTCTCCTCAACACTAACACATGCTGGCAATGATGTACCATGAGCACCTTCCTGTTGTGAAGGAAGCGCTTTGCCCATTCCAGGAGCATCCATTGTATCTCCAGAGAGTGCTACTCGAACCCCCGCATTCCCTACAGGACGATTCTCCACTGCCCTTATCTCAGCTACTGCATCAACTGCATCTCTACTGCCAACCCCACCAGCATCTTCTCGACTTTCCTGAGCTTGTTGACCACTGCATGATGGCTCCTCATGCCCATCTTCTATCATCCCACCTGGGCATGCCTCTTCAGCCATGAGCATTGCACACTCAATAACTGCCCCGTCCGCGTCTATGCTCCTCTTTACATGACCCCCTACCTTATTTCTTATATCCCGTTCCTCCAGCATCACATCCCTGTTTCCCGCCTGTTCATTCTCCAACAGGCAACCCCGTTGCCTTACAAGTCCCGATGCATCTTCCTTCACTGTTCTCAGCACTACTCCTTCCTTCTCACCCTCTCTCCCGAACCCAACTCCCCTCCTCTCACCTCTGCTAAGCACTACCATCATGTTGTCTTGCCCTTGATCTTCTCACGCCTTGTCCACGTGTACAAGTGGATGATGCCTCCCACACCAACAAAGGGTTGACTACCCTCTATGAGTATGAAAGGTCTAATCTCCTTCACCCGTATAAGCTGCTCCACCTGCCACTCTCTGTCATCAGACTCATCACCCAGGTTCTCCACACTAACACTATTTCTGCTGCAAGATGTGTCTTTCCCACCCTTGCCACCATTTCAGAAAAAGAGGAAAAAAAATCGAAAGAATGAATACAACCGATACTAAAAGCACTGCGCCTCACAAAAGAGAACAAAACACATTTTCAGTCTTCCGACGTCAAATCTAATGCCTCATCTTTTGCTGGTTCTGATTAGCACTGTTACCCCAATCTCCAACCTCTCCATATCCCCCTCTCACTTCAAACTTCCACAATGTTTCCTCCACAATCTTATACCACTTCCTCGTCTGGTCCGTCCCATCCCCAAGGCCACCCTAGGCATGTAGTACCTCTGCATCTTGCTCCCGCCACAGTACTTGTACAGCAGAACCCACCTCTGCTGTGTCTGACACAGAACACAGACCCAGTCCTTGAACCTCTGGTCAAACTCACTAACACTCTTTCAGCCACCGGGTCAGGGCTATCATACAAAGACCTGGACCTATATTGTGTCCAATTGGTCACAACCAGTGTCCTCCAAGGAACTGTGTTCTTCATTCGTCAAAACCTGCAACCATCCCTGCGAGCCGCCGAAGGGAGCAAAAGCCTTGAGGACTGAGATGCACAACAGATCAAACATATCAAGACACACAACGCCCATTGATGTTCAGCCGCATGAATTGAGTTCTTCTTCTCTCTCTCTCTCTCTCTCTCTCTCTCTCTCTCTCTCTCTCTCACCTTCTCTGCCCACAGCGCAGCACTCAAGAACAACATTCGGCAGCACCACGCAATGCAAAGAGGGTTCATATCATGCGCTGTAAAAGAGTTTTCCGCCAAACAACACGAAATGATTTTGCGCCACATGATTTCGTACACTGCAGGCCAGGGTTGCATCCCCGCCCACCATCAACCCCGACCGCCGATTTTGCAGCCTACCGGTAGGGCTGACCAGTCGGCAGTCTGCCCACCAGTTAGTAAACAGCCATCCACTTTTTATTTTTTTTTTAATCTGACTATGGGCTTGCTGAGTACAGCCCAAATCCGCTCAGAAACTTTTAGAGATTGGGGGGGTGGGGTGGGGGGGTTGGGGGGATATAAGGGTGTTGGGGGGCGGTTTAGTGGTGTTGGGCGGGTGTATGGGGGTGTTGATGGGGTTATTAGGGGTTATGGACTCCAAAAAATATATATATATATATATATATCGATATATATATATCGTCACGGGATGCCGACAACCGCCGACAGATAGCTGCTGACCAGCCGACCAATCAAGGGGCGCCCACCGTCGGCCTGCGCAACTCTGCAGCAGGCACAAAAGATTCTCGCCATGCACGGAAACTGTTTTGCACCGCACGGCCTCCAAAGAATTGCACCACACATAGCAAACCTCTTTGGCACTGCATGGGACCAAATCTTTGGAGCCACACAATTGACTGCTGGGCCAAGCTAGTCTCCAGAGTGTCTCGCAAGGCCGCCACATGAGACCCACTTTTGGCTTTGAGGAGTTAGTGAATGAAAGAAACAAAAGATGGGAAGGGAGGAAAAGGACGGGAAGTGAAGGGAAGGGAAGGGAGGCAAGGCAAGGCAAGGCAAGGCAAGGCAAGGCAATGAAGGGAAGGAAAGGAGTCAGGAGGGACAAAGGGAAGTAAAGGAAGCAGGAAGGAGGAAAGGGAGGGAGGGAAGGAACAAGAATCGCCTTCTTTTCTGCGCTCTGCTGGTGCTTTCGTTTTTAGTAAGCGCATGAAAGAAACCAAGAGACATGTTATAGATGAGCGGGGGGGAGGGGGAGGGGAAGGGAGAGGTGGGGAGAGAGAGAGAGTGACGAATGTAGTGAACCCAAATCAAGAAGCTCACAATATCAACACCATGCATGGATTTCACAATGCTAAATGATTGACAATCACCAAGAGACAGCAAGTACACAAGACTAGAGAAAAAGGAGGAGAAGAATACGTAATGAACCTCACGAATTGAACCTCTGCGGCTATGGCCACCTTCTTCCTCCCTCAAGCTAGCTAGGGTTGACTACTTCCTCGCCAGGGCAACCTAGCTAGGGTCCACTACTTCCTCGCCAGGGCTACGATCACACAAGCAACCAGCAGCGCTTCCGCAACTTTGCGCATGAACAACTTGTTTTCCTCGGCACTCCTCTGCAGTGTAGCAGCTATAAATAGTAACAGCTGACTTGGTTTGCCTGCTTTGTACCGGCACCGGTCGCCCGCAGCCTCTGCTGCATGTTTGTGTTCCGGAAGTCTCCAGACTTTCTTGGGAGGCTGCTGCAAAATTGAACTTTGGGACCTGACTTCCTCTACCCGTACCTGAAGACAATTACCAACTTGCGACGCCTCAGTACCCGACTTCCACCGACCTGCAACACTCCGACCTACAAACCCTAGGACTCAACCTACTGGGACATCCTGGGACCGGGTCCAACTGGGACTCCGGAGCCAGGACTCAGGACTGACAGCATGAAATCCTTTCAAACAAGAAGATCCAATAATAATCAATGACTACAATGTCTTGCCTCGCCTTCCCCCACTTCTCCCTCCACGCTTATTTTCTCGCTCTTCTCACCACCTCATACATTAACCTATCCCTCTACTGATGATGAAGCCAGTACGACTCTCGCCAATGGTAAAGTGCCTCTCAAAGGCAATATCCATCTGGTGCAACGAAGAATAACACTGGTCCAAGAAATGCTGGCCTTCATAAGCAAAGCGCTCTCTCCAAACACAGTGCATCGCCAGGGAAGTCCGGGTAAGCCTCTCTCCACGCCGCTGGATGTGATCATCCATGAAACCTCTCTCTCTCTCTCTCTCTCTCTCTCTCTCTCTCTCTCTCTCTCTCTCTCTCAGTTATGGTGCAGTGCATGGTCTGTCCTAGCTATGGACACTCTTACTCTCACTTTGTGTGTGCCTTCTTCATGCGCTACGGTCTTCACCCGAATAGAATGCCTGGTCATTATAGTTGTCTTTGAGGCAATTTTATAGTCCCGATGCAGCCATAATGACCGGGCATTCTATTCGGGTGAAGACGTTAACACTCAAGCAGCACCGCTCCACCCCTCAAGGCAGAATGAATGCACGACCTGGGGTCGGCCCAGTATTTGTAGTGTTGACTCGGCCAGGCCTGCCTCCAGTTGCCTCCTCGTGTGGCTGAGATCTCTTCTTTTTTTTTTCTTTTTTTTTCTTTTTTTCTTTTTTTCTTTTTTTAAGAAACAAAAACTCCAATCTATTCGTGGGGAGCAACACAAGATGGGAACCGGGTTCAGCGTCCCATATCAAATTGTACGAATCTTCTGAGATATCGGGGCCATTACCCGGGTTTGGCTGAGAAAACGTCTGAGAACACTTGCGGTAATTCGGGAAGCATGGGAATAGATTGGGACTTTCCTAATGACCAATTAAGGAATTACTCATGCAACAAGCCACCGCAGCGGTCCTACAAATGCTAAAAAACCCTCGGAATCCCTAACAAACCCTTTCAAAGCTCTCCAACACTGTCTTACTCCCTGCCGAGCTCTTCCAGGCCTCACACCCCCACATCCTGCTGGGTTACACGGCAACGCGACTTGCCCCAGCTCCGACCAGCGTCGTCCCAGCAGCAACCCTTGGTTGTCCCGTGGAATGCCCACCCCAAAGCATCCCCAGATCTCTCTACCAGGCCTCACACTCCTGCATCAGCAGGTAACAGGGCAACACCTCAGCACCGGCCAGCATCGTTCTGGCATCGAACAGCCACAGATCACTGAGTATAACAGCATTGAAGCCACCTAAGACAAGTTGCTAGGAGTCCCCAGAGTCCTAAAACATTCTTAAGACCACCAAGAGCAACCAGAAACAGCCAACTTGTGAAGAAACCAAGAACCAACTGAGATAATCCGAAGCTTTCAGACCAAGAACCACTTGCCCTAGTGCCTTTCAGCAGCCCAACCTTATCCGCCACCGCCCTATACCCCGATACTCAATCTCTACCAGGCCTCGTACCCCCAACTGCTAGGTTGCAGGGTGGCGCGACCCACCCCAGAAACCCCCCCACCTGCTAGGCTACAGGGAAGAGCGACCCGCCCCCGTTCCGGCCAGCGTTGACTAAGAACCATTCCACCAACAAACACTAGAGAGCCTTCCACCCTCGACAACTCCCCAGATCTCTCTACCAGGTCTCATGCCCCCTTACAGCTCCAGTTACAAGGCAGCGCGACCAAGCCCCAACACCGACCAGCATAGTTCTGGCCTCGCCCATTCGTAGACCCCTAGGACCAAAGGCGTCAACAGATCACAGGCAAACCCCCAATCCTCACCATAGTTGAGGTTCCCATCATCCAACTCCTCCAGGCACTGGTTGCAATCGGCCAACAAAATTCATTCTCACCCCTACTCCGGCAAGACTTACCGCAGTTGAGCCACCATCTCCACCGCTGTTGTACCATATTTCCGCCCTACAGGCTAGCCCCTTCGCCGCAGAGCGCGTTATTATATCACTGCCACCAGCAGCAAACTAGTGAAGATTTTTCCAAAAAAATCAATAAACTCAGATGTGCAAGGAAGATGAACATTAGCGAACTTCAGCAATCAAACAGCATCATACATATGAGCCCAGATAGTCTTGACCTCGAACCACAGCAGACTTGCATCACGAGATACACCAAATAAGAACACACCAAGAGTTCAAAATTGACAATGCTGAAGTAGTCCCATCATCATCAATTACGAACCAGAGTTGATATCCTATTGGCGCTCGGCGCCCAGACTACATGCGGCAGGTCCTATCTAGCCTATACTACGAAGCAGAATGATGACATCAACAGCGTTCCCGAAGTACGAGCATATGGCGACCAATGTCGCACGCTTCAGCACCAGGTATGTATCTCGTAACACTCACAACCCCGATCCAGACCGCACAGATGCCACTAGCACCCAAGGACCACCCTGCGCTTCACCTAGCATACAGCAGCGCAGCTTGGCTATGGCTGCGTGCTCCCTCCTACTCGCCCGTGAGAGCGTGAGTGCCAGCCAGCCAGCGGATTGCGCAGCAGCGCTCACGCAGCATGCAGCCAGCACCCGAATGCCGAATGAGGAGGCCGGCCCTTCCCTATATCGAAGTGGCCTGCCTGCGTCCAGTCCAGGAAGCTTCCGGTAGGCCCCGGTAGGCACAGGCCCAGTCACGAAGAGAGCAGGCCTTGGGCCTGAAGTGGTTGCATGCGCCCAACTGCTTTCGGCCTGTGTTTGGCCCGGTACCCGTATCCAGCCCAGGGCCTGCTTCACATTCATTTACACAAGCGGCCCACGGCCTGGATTCATTCAACCAACTGTCACAACGCAACTGTCTGAATTTCCCCGAGGCGGGCTACCCTGAAGAATGAGGCCCGAAGGGCCTGTCGTGCCTGCCTTCACTTAGGGAGGCCGACCTTGTTGCAGATAGGGCCCCGTAGGGGCTAAGCGGGCGTAGCCTCGCAGATGCATGTTGCTTCGAATTCAAGAATAAGAGCCAAACTTAGGATGTAGAAATCCGAAATAGGAATTATAGGAGTTTTAGAAATTTAAGATTCGAATTTCAGTTCCAAAAAAAAAACAATAGACTCAGATGCACGTTGCTTCGAATTCAAAAATAAGAGCCGAACTTAGGACGTAAAAATCCGAAATAGGAATTATAGAAGAAAGTTTAGAAATTTAAGATTCGAATTTCAGCACTTTGAATCACAAAAATTAAGAAGAAGGTTGTACGAAAATAGCAGACCAACCAAAGGAATTTCTATGGATTTAAGAAGCGAGACATCATAGATTCGAGAAATCGCGAATCCTTATAAGATTTACGCATATCCATATGCTGTTGAAGGAAATTTCAAAGTTTATTAAGAGTTTGTTAAGAAGGAATTATGAAAAATTCAAACCCCAAAAAAATACTACAAGATTTCGAGAATTATGTATCTATTGAAGCATGGGATTAGAACATCAAAATCAAAGTTATTTGTAATGTGTAATTACGAGATCAACACACCAGTACAGATTGAATTACAGATTAGAAGTGCAACTACGAAGTATTGATTCGAAAAAACATGTGAACCAGTTAGGGTGGAAAAAAATACTACAAGATTTCAAGAATTATGTATCTATTGAAGCATGTGCAAGGAACATGAGTATGGACGAAGCACAGAAATCCGGAATGCAAAATCACACTGAAGTCCAAGTATTCAAAGCCAAAGCAGATAGCACATGGAACCGAGTAACCATCCCATTGAGAATGATACAGAAGAATCGTGAGTCAATGTCCATGCCCACCAGGGCAACACCAACAGCATAACCCAAATGTAGCTCTCTCTTGTGAATGGCGCCAGGCGCCCTATCTACTCTACAGCCTATCCTRCAACTACAGCAATGAACAGCAACCAGACAACTTGACTACCAGCGAGTGATGATGTCAACACCAATGCAGACCTCCACCATCACCAGGTAYGTGTCMTCTTYCCCACACTCTCCCTTGTTACCCACACAGYGCCCTTCACCTCCGAAGTACCACCTTCKCYCYCACCTCCCCTGCACCCTCWTGCGGCCCGGCTATGGCYGCCAGTGCTCYGCAAGCAGGCAGCGCCCTACCGCCTAGCGCTGCCCTGCTTCTTCTTAGCGCAGCGCTGCTCTGCATTAGCGCAGCACACTTGCATCTGCGCAGCGTGCCCGCATATGCCAGCATTGGCCAASMTCCCYGCTGCCTCGCCCTGCTTGCCTATATGCCAGTGCAGTGTGTGGGCGGCCTCCCTTCAGCCTGTGTCCGGGGCCCAGAGGCTGAAGCCAACTCGATACAGTTGGGCCCCGGGGTAAGGCAGTCCTTCATCAAGGCCTGCGGCCAGATTCAGACAGTGGGCCGATTTCCCCTTGGCATTTTCGGCCTCTCTTTCCAGCATGCATTGTCGGCCTCACGTTCAGATGCCCAGGGCCTAACCAACTCAGAGGCCCTGGGCTTTCAGCATTTGCTGAAATCCGAGACTCGGTGCACTCCAACCAACTGGCGTGCTGCAACTGTATGAACCCCACTTCGTGAAATGTTGCACAGAGGGCTCTTGTCGATTTGCTGGCCCGCATTCACTTAGGGCGGGCACTAGGCTTGCTGGGGCCTTAGCCCAGACCATGTACATCATGGCAAGGCCCCTACTTGAGGGCTCAGTCCTCACACATGGGATTAGAAAATCAAAATCAAAGTTATTTGTAATGTGTAATTAGGAGATCAACACACCAGTAGAGATTGAATTACAGATTAGAAGTGCTACTACGAAGTATTGATTCGAAAAATCATGTGAACCAGTTACGGTCGAAAATCTAATCACTGTAAACCGCTTGAGACGACTAAAAAAACAAATGAAAAACTAATCAAGGAGAATGCTGCTACTCGAAAATTAACCACAAAACCATGCACATCATACCACCTTGCGATTTTCCTGTCATTGTAAACTGTTGTCCACCCATCTCAATTCCTCCTCCAATCTCACCACGAAACTTTCCCCCTATGCCTTCTTACGGGGGAGACCAACCCCCTCCCGTCGAAAGCAGAAGTTGGTGGCCAAGCCCCTCTCAGAGCTCGTCACGACAGTCCTCGTTGAACCTGCCAACGACACCTCGCAGGAGTTCCGACCTTAGTAAGACGAGAACATGAGGCGGGCAAAAACAGAGAACGGCTGGTGCATTCACACGGCGCGGTTCGGCTTGGCAGTAGCGTGGCGCATGTCGGGAACGAGGATGGAGCATGGCAAGACGGCAGCGAACTTTGAAGTTTTATATGGGCGGCTTTGCAAGGGAATGGAAGGGAACCTGCGTTGGGGTGGGAGCTGTGTGTGAGCGATGGCGGGACGTATGACGTTAGTAGCATACGGGCACCGATGGTAACGAAGGGACGACGGGTTGGGCTGCGGTGTGCGGGAAGGTGATGGTGGACTCGACAAGTGACGGGAAGGGGAGGTACTGTGAGTTGGAGGGAGGGCGTATTAAGTGATGGTGATTTCGCTCTCCTCTTCAGGATCGGTATGGGCATGAGATGCTCCTCCTTCGGTCAGGTTCCGAGGTGCCTCCCCTCTTCCTCAGTAGGGTAGTAATGGTTTATGGAGGCTCGAACCCCCTGTAGTGACTTACCAGCAGGTTTGGTGAGGACAGGCTGCACTGTCGTTTTTGGGGACTGACGATGGCCATGTAGGTCTTGGGTGCTAGCGTTGCCTTGAGCCTTAGAGGCTAGCAGTGGAGGTGTGCCACGTCTCCCCCGGAGACGGAGGGGTAGGGTTTGAGGAGGATAAGGTAAGTTGGTGGGCTGAGGAAGTAGGTGAGGAGGGTTATTCTTGATGCTCGCTTTGTTGGGTCTATCATTGGGCCGCCCTCTTTGAATTTTACTCCTTATATCACCTGTCTGTTTTTTTTGCCTTTTTCATTCGTAATCCTTGATGTTCATTCATTGATGATCTAATTCAGACTTTCCCAATTTTAGTGAATCTTGATTGTTTCGGAGCGGTTTGAAAAAATTCTTAATCAATTGGAATTTCTTTCTCTATAGTATCCCTTGCGTAGTTGCTCAAATTCATTGTTCTTAGGCGCTTCTTTGACGAGCATAATCCCTATCGAAATTTTGTCCTATTAAAACTTATGATTCTTTACAATCATGAGTCCATTTTTGGACATCTCAGGTAAATCGAAAGAGACTTCCCAACTACTCGCGAATTCTGAGTCCGTTTTTGGACATCTCAGGTAAATCGAAAGAGATTTCCTAACTACTCTCGAATCCTATATCTCTGAATCCCAATTCAAAAATAATTTCCTATTGTACTTTCCTTAGCATCGATCAGTATCACGCTCTTTTGTGGTGTTCTAAACCAATTGATTCTCTCTTGTTTTCAACAGGCTTCTGAGGGTGATGTTCATTAGTTTTTTACCGGTAATAAGGCCATAGAGTTGATCGAAGGCCCTAATTAGGGCATCTAAAATTCGTTGTAGATTCATATGGGGCGGTTCTGTTGAGTCGGGGGATCTGTCCAAGAAGGGGGGCAAAGGGCACGAGATGACTCTTTGTGAGGACGGAGAGAGGGTTGCATCGGGGCTGTCTGGGGGGTACCGACTAGGGAAACTTTCATTAGATGCGATTGGCGTCGGGCAGCTTTGGTTGTCGGATGGGTACCGGTTGATGAGGGTTTACTCTGGTGCGATTGGCCTCAGGCGGTGCTGGTTCACCCCCTCGATGACAGAAACTGGAATTTCCGAGGGGGCAGGAGATTGCAGGGTGAGGATTGTGTCTTGTTCTTGCTGAGGACATGGTCTGTCGAACTCATTACTAGGACGGAGTTGGGGAGGTGAAGGAGGTGAGTGTAGGTTCTGTTGGGTTATGGGGGATCTGTTCAAGGTGGAGGGCAAAAGGCACGAGATGATTCTTTGTGAGGACGGAGAGAGGGTTGAATTAGGTTGTCTGAGGGGTACCGGCTGGGGGATCCTTCATTCGATGCGATTGGCATCAGGCAGCTTAAGTTGTCCGATGCGTACCGGCTGATGAGGGATCATTCTGGTGCGATTGGCTTCAGGCAGTGTTGGCTTGCTCTCTCGAAGACGGAGACTGGAATCTCCGAGGGGGCAGGAGATTGCAGGATGAGGATTGTGTCTGGCTCGTGCTGAGGGTATGGTCCTTCGAACCCTTTGCTAGGATGGAGTTGGGGAGGGTGATCCGGGACCTCCCCTTTGATGACAAAGACATTGCACTTGTTGACTTTCCGGGACCTCCCTTTCGATGACGAAGACAGAACTGTGGCATTTGTAGTCCTTTGGAAAAAAGATGGCGGGGTGTCACACGTCCTACTAGTGAGTGGGCTAGCTGGTAGATTGGGAAGAGAGCACAGCAG